TGGTCATATGACCATTCACACTAACTACATGAAATTGATAAAACTAAGAGTAGACAGTCTATTATTTTGTTGTAAAAAATAAATCAGCTGCCCAAAGCCAAAATAACACTTTTAGAGCTTCCAGAATTAAAACAAAATGTTTGGCGACAACTGTTGCCGGTGGGATTAAACGGTTACTCAAAGTGGCACTACTACCAATATCTAAAATCTATTAAAAGATGAGGCTTAAATTACAACTTAATAAAACAAATCAATGTTCTGACCTCTGTTCTTGCACTTTGTTGTTATATTTGTATAATACATTATGTATATGTTTCAAACACATAATTTCTAGTAATATTATAATAAAAATCTGAATGAGATCATCAACAATCACCTCGAGCACATCATTTTCTAAACTGCTATTTAGCACAGAACCCTCTCTATTTTTGGTGAACAGCAAAGAGGTTTTTGATTCAGACATTACAAAAACCACAAGGACAAATAGCCAAAATCTCTTCAGAATACTGCCTTTTYCCCCCTCTTCACTTTTATAAAAGAAACTTGTCTTACAACCTGAAGGCTCAAAACAAAGACAGGAGTGCAAAAAGAAGAGCATGCAAAGGATCCAATACTCTGATACACTGTTGTAAAAATACCTGYGTATCAGCTTGTATTGCACAGCTTTTACTTTCTTCTTTCTGCAAACAAAACTACTGCGGGCAAAACGATTTTATTTCCTCTTTAGTACAGCACATTTTTCACTCAATGAAATGCTCCAATCCAAAATACACAACTACAAACACTATAGATTAAGAGAGAGAGGGGACGTTCTTTTTTTAATCCTGGTTCGTACATACAATTGTGTAATCTGTTCTGAGTGTATTGTAATTTTATYCCCACAGGCACAGAATAACATAGTTTCATAAATTCAATTCAAACTGCTTCAGGACTGCACCTGGTCCTGGAGCTATGCGCTATAAACTCAAGAGTCAGGTTTGAGGTATAAAAGTAAGTGTTTGAGCTGAAACTGTTGTAGCAGAGCAGGGTTTGGCACTGATGTTGAACTCTTAACTGATGAAGTTTACACTTACTGTGTAAATCAGTAAAAAATCATACAACATGCTCATATTAAAAAGTGCATTCACAGAAGTGGTATTTTTCACACTAACTGTAAATGTAGTTACACTGCTGCATGATTAAACAAAAATAAAAAATAGGACAGAGTGAAGATTTCGAGAGGTTTTAGCGGGTCTAGCAGCTGTTAGCTACTTATATTAATGAGCTCAGCTGTTCATCAGAGCAGAACAAGAAAAAAAAGAAGATTATGACCATCTCCTTATTCAGTTCCTGAAATTAGTTGAGATGAAGGAACTCCAGCTGATCAGGTTCAGAGGATTTTAACTTGGGCTTCACACAGATGCACAGAATTTCAAAGGGAACTCTGCTTTCTCACCTCTGAGTTTGAACACAGAGATTTATCTAAACTCTAAGCCTGAGCATGAA